TCAAAAAGATTTATTGTTCATGAAGGCATATGTCTATCATCTGTGTTCAGTATCCAGTAGGGACTCATAATTGCCTGCTGGATGAATGCCGCAAAGTTGGGGAGATGGTCATAGCTCTGAAGACCATGACAGAGTTAGGGATTCAAACTTATTGCAGGTAAGAATTGAAAGGATTGAATGGTGGTCTTTACACAACACCGTGAAAATTTACAGGGGTGAACTTAGACTGTAGGATATAAAAGCTGTATAAACCAAGCTGATGGATACTTATGCTTACAGTAATCAATGTGAACATAATTGTAAGCATATGCTTTGTATGAATCAAAAGCATGATGTGGCCATTAAAAGTATGCCAACAGTTTGGAGTTCTCTTAACAAGGGATTAGGTGTTCAGATGACTGGAAGAGATGCTCTGAGTCCTGATCAGGCCCTATCTGGAGCCTAGGCTCAGTTCTGGGCAGCAGGTTTTATGAGGAACACCAGCAACCTGGAGGACATCCAAAGTTTGGGGAAGAGCGTAGTGATGAGCAAGATGGTAAAATGGCCCTGTTTGCCTTCAGATGTGGATTTTTAACTTCTCCCTACTTGAATAAGGAATGAGCCTAAATAGTCGTTTGTTTATTTTTAAGAGGTCACAATGGCCTTGTTTATATCTTTTTCATTCTATTCATTCATCTACTCATTCATTAATTCATCGTTTCTAATGAATGTTTGTTAGGTGGCTACTGTGTTTTAGGGGAGAAGGAAATGGCAAACTTACTCCAGTGTTCTAGATGAGAAAACTCCATGGACAGAGGAGCCTGGCAGGCTGCAATCCCTGGGGTTGCAAACAGTCAGACGCAACTTAGTGACTGAAAACAACAGCTATGCTTTAGACACAGTAGCAGGCTCTAGGGATATGATTCTTGTCTGCAAATGAGTTCAGGTGGGAGAAGCAGACATATATGAATATAACTGTAATACTGAGTAGAATATAGCTAAGTGCTATCGTTAGTCATCTTTGGTCCCCCTAAAGCCAAACTTCTGCATCAGCTGACTGACTTGTCTTTCTATTTTCAGTCTTTCTCCATCCTAACCTAAAAATTAACTCAATTAACTCTTGCATCAGAGTAATCATTCTAAAATCATTTATGTGGAAGCACTCAATTGGGTAATAGAGATCAGAAGGGGGAGTATGCTAAGCAGAGGCTCAAGGCAACTATCATATAGCATAAGGGGCTTTCCTGGTGGTTCAATGGGAAAGAATCTTTCTGCAATGCAGGAGACACAGAAGATACAGGTTCTACCCCTGGATCAGGAAGATCCCCTGGAGGAGGGCATGGCAACCGACTCTAATATTCTTGCCAGGAAAATCCCATGGACAGAGGAGCCTGGTGGGCTACAGTCCACAGGATCACAACGAGTCAGACACAACTGAGCTTGCATGCACATGTATAAGAAGATTTAGGGTAACAACTGTAATAATAGTTACCATTTATTCAATGACCTAACCATTAATTATGAAAATGGGACATCATCATCATCAATTGGCATTCATAGTATAATACTAGGAGAACAGTTTTTCAGACTGACTCCATGTGGAGCATAATACTTTTCAGTTAAATACATTTTGTAATTACATCTAAATCTAACTCTTTTGTTCAATAGTTTGGTCTACTTCTTTTCCATAGATTTTAATATAATAGAAAAACTCATCATCCCTAATTGTCATTCTGGGACCTTTTTGCATTCATGGATCCTTTATCAGCAAACAGATACAATCACATTTTTCCTTCCCTTGTAGCCTAGTCCATCACATGTCGTTTTGGAAAGGGCACATAGTGAAAATGGCCTATAGAGTTGTGGTCTGTCCTGCATTTAGAGTTCTAAGGGAACTATCACAGCATCTTTATGCAATTAATTTGAGTGGATCAAGTATTTTATTTTAAATTTAATTATTTTATTTTATTTTTAAGTTAATAATTTTAATTATTTTCCCAACTGCACCTAACTACTCAAGCTGCTAGGTAGCAGATGAAGGTGAATCTGCCTCAGTGTCTTCATTTCTTTCCAAGGTCTACTTCACCTCATAGTCTCAAAACTATCTGGGGGCTGAGAAGGAAAGATTTGAAGCCACAGATTCCTTATTGGATTTCCTTATCTATGTGACCATGTGCTTATCTGGTCTAATAGTTTCATATAATATAATCATTGGTAGAATAGATGATGACAGGGAAAGAGAAAAATAAGGAGATTGAGAAAAAGAAGACATGAAGTAAAGTTCAGAAGAAGAATAAAGCCCAGAACTGCCCGTGACTTTGGGTAATATGACTCCCAGGAAATTAGAATGGACTGAGTCTATGGCGTCCATGGCTGGAAGCCCTGGCAGGCAGCTGGCTTGGTGACCAGGCAGCTCTTCTCTTTGCAGCTGGCATGGAGAGCAGCATGCAAATCCCACTTTAAAAGAACAAAGAGCAGTGTGCCCATGCTCCACTGCAGCTGCCACAGCCGAGGTTGGAAAATAAGGAAAAATTCCAATGATGAGTGGGCTGAGAAAGCCATATCTTATTTCCAGAGCAGGCGGTATTCTTCCACCTTGAAGAATGAGTAAATCATTAACCCAAGCCAAGGTGGGGTGCAGGGAGAAAGGGCAAGGGAGATAAAGAAGGTTGGATGGTGAAGGGAAAGAGGGGGATGAGTGGAGGAAGGAAAGAACCAGAGTATAGAAACCATTTTTGTTTTTCCTTTAATTGTGAACTTGCATCTTAATTTTTTAAAAAAATGTTATACTTCATTTATAGTTAACACAAAACATTGGCTGTATCCCTTATGCTATTCAATGTATCCTTGTGACTTGCTTCTTAATTTACCAGGATTTAATAAGAGCTAAATGGAGATCAGTTAGTCTATTCATTGCCACATGAAGGGTCAACTATAGCCATTTCCCTAGAGATATGGAAGCTCCATTAACTGGGCCACACGCTATACTGTAGCAGGATCTGGTATTAGGTTAGGCTCACATGAAGTTTGCTGAATAACCTCTGTTCTTACATATGCATACTTGAAAGGTTGGTCAGAAACAAATATTTTGAGTTTATATTTCCTTCTTAATTCACTCTCTGCCAAATGTATGTAAGGGCCTCCTCCAGCATCTAGAACCCTTACATTATGTCTAAGCAGAGTTTTAAGGCAATAATTAGTCCTACTTCTGAGTAAACTGTGGTGTGTGGAGAAGCCTCCTAGTCAAAGTAAATTTCATAGGAGATTGAACAGGCTGTCTTTCTTAGGGAATCAGGACATCTTATTGGTTATAATGATCTGTCTGAAAATCTGACAAGTGCTAAAGACCTAAAAAATACTCTTACAATTCTTCCTTTTATAGAATGTTAAGACCTATAAGTAATGGCTTTGGAGCTGTGAAAACGATAGTTGGATCACAAACTAGAATTTAAGAAACATAATTAAGTTGTGTCATGAGAAACAATCCCTAGCATATTTCTAGTCCCAGTAAGTACTGATTTTTGTAGTCTCTTAGCTCTAGCTCCTCCATTTGGAAATTTGAGATATTTTAATATTAAGTTAAACCTTGAACTCATGGCCACTATAGAATCAAGCTGATGACCTCTGTTCATGGATCATATTCTGAGAACCCTCTTGTCCAAGCTAACTTTTCCAAATGGGCCACCTGGATCATCAGATGTCATCAGATCCATGCCCTATCTTCAGAAGTGGACCAATATTTACTACTAGCCATACGAAAATACCTAGACAAGGAGATGTTGTCGTATTTCTATCAACCACTCAAATGCACCAGGAAATAAAAAAGGAATTCTGCCCATGGCAACCTGTTGCTTTTGATTTGTTATTGCTGTTCAGTCACCAAGTCATGGTCAACTCTTTGTGACCCCACAGCTATAGCACTCCAGGCTTCCCTGTCCTTTACTATCTCCCAGAGTTTGCTCAAATTCATGTCCCTTGAGTCAGTGATTCTATCTAACTATCTCATCCTCAGCTTCACTCTTCTCCTGTTACCTTCAACCTTTCCCAGCATCAAGGTCTTTTCCAATGAGTTGACTCTTTGCATTAGGTGGCCATAGTATTGAAGGTTCAGCCTCAGTATCAGTCTTTCCAATGAATATTCAGGGTTGATTTCCTTTAAGATTGACTGGTTTGATCTCCTTGCAGTCCAAGGGACTCCCTAGAGTCTTATTCAGCACCATAATTTGAAAGCATCAATTCTTCAGCACTCAGCCTTCTTTATGGTCCAGTTCTCACATTCATACATGACTACTGGAAAACCCATAGCTAATATTTCAGTTAACGAACTTTGGTTAGTATAATCTTCTATAATGTTGTAAAAAACATAATGAGAAAGATTGAATAATGAGGCCAAGAAAGTTTCCTATGAGAATTCATTGGTTTATTCATTTACACAAACAATTTTTATGGGGCATACATGATGTTCAAAGTACTATTTCTCTGTGAAGTTTACTATAAGGTGTAACTTTTAGAACTCTTATGATCTATTAATTCAACAAATGTTTCTTTGTGTCTAGTATGTGTCAGTAGGGATTAAAGATTAAATGAAATTTTGCTTGCTACATGTCTATTTTAGTACCCTTGTGTAGTGAAACACAGCAGCCTTCAGAGTTCATGATCTAGACTGGGAAGTGGATTGTGGAAGCATAAATAATAACAAGAATAATTGCTCTATATTACATAATTTGTCAACTATAAGCTACTAATTACTGTAGGAGTGTTAGGGAAAGGAGAGAAGCCTCTTCCAAATTGGATGATCAATCAGATGACTATATTATTTCTCATACAGACTGGGGCACCATTGAAAAAGAAAGGAGGTATGGTTAATAATAATGGTAGGATAAGAGGAACAAATTTTTCTGTAAGTCTAGGTGTCAGAAACTTTTCTATAAAGGACAGATAATAAGTAGTTTAGACTACAGTCTCTGGCTCAACGACTCCACACTGTTGTAGTATAGACACAGTCCTAGACTATATAAATGTATGGTTGTATGCCAGTCAAACTTTGTTTACAAAAAGAGGCACTGGCTGTCTTGTGCAAGAAGATGTTGTCATCCAGCATCTATTGCTGAATAACATGTTGGTAGCTTGAAATGATAAACCTTTGTGGTTTCAGTTTCTGAGGATTGGGAGTCGGGAATGGCTTAGCTAGGTATTTCTGGTGCTTGGTCTCTCTGGAGGTTACGGTCACGGTATCACACTGGGTTGTAATCACTGATGCTTGACTGAATCAGTTTTTAAGCTCACTCATGTGGCTGTTGTTAAGAGATGTTCGTTCTTCATCGTGTGGTGCTCTCCGTAAGGCTGCTCCACTACCTGGCTTTCATCAGAGCTGGTGAGTAAAAACAACAACAATAAAAACAAAACAAACAAACAAAAAGCCAAGATGGGATCTGCAGTCTTTTTATAGCTTAATCTTGGAAGCACACCCTATTCCTTCTGTCTTTATCCTGTTCTTTAGAAGTGAGTCATGAAGCCTAGTGCACACTCAAGCAGAGGGGGTCATACAAGGTTGTGAATACCAGGAGACAAAAATCGCTGATTCATGATGTCTATCGCACTCCATTATGGTGATTCTCATTAGACAATTTTTTAGAACTTTATGAGAAATGGATTAATCATTAAGACTATTTGAGTTTAGCTCTATCTCGTGTTCTGGTGACCTCAAGTAATGAGAATTAGTGGGAATATATAACTGTTGTTCCAGAAGTGGTACAGAAAACAGTACTAGAAGTGGCTCCAGAAATTCTTTTCATGCTCTGTGTTCTCCTCCCCACACCTTCACCTTCCCCAAGCAGAGAAGATCTGATTGGGTCAATGAGTCGCAACCCATTATAGAACATCGTTATTCGGTAGCTCTCAATTCACATACTAATTCCTGATCTAATCTGTTACGGCCGATAAAATAAAGCCTATCCAGTCTAAGCAGATGACTTTGCAATGCATTAAAAAATGGTGCACTTTCTCAGAAAAGAGAGCTAAAACTAGCATACATTTAAGACTTCATTGCCTTTCCCAGAAGGGGTCCATGTATATACAGCAATGTATATAGAAAGCCAGTTCACTCAGTGAAAATGCTTTCTGACAGCCAATGCAAAGTCACATGCTAGACATATGTTCTGGAAGATGTTTATTGACCTGTTTCTGTTAATACATCTTTTGGTAAAGAAGTGGCTCTTGCGAACTTATTTACCCAATTAATTCTCAAGATGACAGGTTACTGCCTGACACAGTCAATTTCTTTAGACAATGGAAGAAAAGGGGCAACATTGCAAGGGAGACTTGATTTACAGAAATTTATTCTAGAAGCAAATATGCTCAGCAGGGATTGCATACAAAGAGTAAAAAACATTCAATTTGCATTATGTGCACTGTCTCAAGATAGTCATTACTTAATATCTCTTTTCCCATAGTATAATAAAAGTATAATAATATCCCCATGCATGCTAATTAAAGGCACACTCTGCCTTTAATTATGGAGATATAAACAAAGAGGCAAAGATTCCACATGGGCAATTGAGAGAGGGGAAGTGGGGTGGGGCAATGAAGTGGCTCCTAAGTGAGAGAAGACAATAGCAACAGATAACCCCAGGCCAAGAGGATTGTTGAAAGACAGAAAAAGGCACAACCCTTTTTTAAAAAGTATATATATTTATAAGAGGGGAAAGATGTTGCTTCATGAGTATGGTAATAATTCAATCTATTCTTTGGAGGTTGAGGACATCTGGTAAGTCATTGATCTGAAAGTTGCTTGGGGTCTTCTAGGATGTCCCCAGTTTGTCTTATTTTTTAAACTCAACAAACATTCATTTCAATGGAAAAGTACAAGCCTAATACTAGGAAGAATATAATGGGTTCACCTAAAACACAAATGCCTTGGCTGCAGTCATGGATAAAGCAGGGGACCCCCTACTTTGGTGGTCAAAGCTGCTCTTCTTATGGTCATCACCCTGGGTCCCTGACACAATGTCTGGAATGACCAATACCCTTAGTTTTTATTCACGTTTCCCAGTCAGACTTCACTTTTCTAAGTAATTTAGCACATGAAATCTTAACGTTAAAGAAAATGTAAAAGAGAAAAAAGTTACTTTTGACAAAGCCAACTTCTCAGGAGTAAAGATTAAAATTCCACTCAAAACACCAGGAAAGACAAGTTGATGGCAGTGGCTTTTCTCTGGCATAAGCGACTCCCATGGGGCACTTGCTCTGTCAGTAAGGGCTCAATGTTGGGATCAATGGCCTGTCTGTTGTAGTAACTGCATCTAGTGGACATAAGACCTCTTCATGCCAGGAAACATTGCTCTCTCTTCCTTTTCCTCCTTCTCTTTTTAAAAAAATAGTAGTTGTGAACAATTTCAACAAATTACAAAGTATCTTGGACAAGAGCTATTATTCAAGTCCATTGCCATTTGACAACACTCTGGTGATGTCCTCACTAATCACTTATATTTAAACTTAAAAATATTCATAGCTTTCTTTTAGTACCTAAAGGGGATGTAGAGTTAGGGTCTATAAGGCATGCAGGAGGAAGCTCCATGGGGCTCTCAGCCCAGAAGACTCAGCATTAAGTTTTGACCCAGCATGGCTGCTCAAAGAGCTCAGGAAGGATCAGGTGGTACTTCCAGGATGCAGGGTTGGTTTCAGGCTTGGTCTATACTCTGAGTTCCTTGAAGGAAGAGAAGTGTGCCTATTTATCTTTGTACTGCCACGGTTGAAAGAAATGACTCTTAAGCCTTGATTTTGTGTAGGCACTACATGTCTGCTAAGTCGCTTCAGTCATTTCCAACTCTGCGATCCCATGGACAGTAGCCAGCCAGACTCCTCTGTCCATGGGATTCTCCAGGCCAGAATACTGAAGAGGGTTGCCGTTTCCTTCTCCAGGGGATCTTCCTGACCTAGGAATCAAACCCAAGTCTCTTATGTCTCCTACGTTGGCAGGTGGATTCTTTACCACTAGGCCACCTGGGAAGCCCCAGGCACTGAGTTATTTTATATTTATTGCATAATTTAATTATCATCCTGAGAGATGAATACTATCCTCATTTTAGAGATGAAACAATCAATCTCTCACAGTTTGCGTTATATAATCTTGCATAGAGAATATGATTGGTTCTTAATAATATTGTGCTAAATAAATTTGCTAAAGGTATAAATACACAAACTATGATATAAGGAGATCAAGGACATCCTCTGAAGATCTAATGAGCCCTACAATAACAACTATAGACCAAGGACTATCCTTGGAGGCTATTTATCCATGAGTTTTCCTTTTGTTTGCTATCAAGCTGTCAAAGTACTTTACTAGCAAACTTGATCATAGTAAACTGTAAGACTGCTCAGCTTCTTCTGAGGTGGGATTTTGAGTTTGAGCACACTTGAGATACAGAGAGTTGGTAAACCATGAAGGCAGGCTCTGATACAGTGGAACTTCCAAAATCATCGGCTCTCATCCACTCCAGTTATGCCCACCTAAGTCCGTGAGGAATAAAAATGGGGTAAAACAATAAGGAAAGTCATTGACCAGATAAATAGCTTGAGATATTTAGTTTCTTTTATTCTTATTAGAACTGTTTTGCATTGGTCTCAAGAACTTCCATTTTGATTCCCACTTTCAAGCCTAATAAGTTTTTCCTTTCTCATTCTGTTCTGAACAAAGTCCTCTTGGCTGGTTGAGTCACTGTGTCTCTAATTCAGAGAGGTGAACAGGTCTGTGTGTGTCTCTGATGATTCACTATTGGCAGTGTAAATCTCTGGGCAGTGAAGAGATCCTGGCGGCCTGAAACGAATAGTGTAAACTCCAGCAGTGCCAGCAAGAGTTAGAGCCAGTCTTCATTTTCGTTGGGTCCAGAAAACAGCCAGTCCTCATTTCACCTGGGACTGTCCTTGTTGAAGACCTCCCTTCCCGAGCAACTACCTTTTCTACGTGGATCAGGAGAGAGAGCTGTGCTGACATTCAAAGGAATGAAATTAAGTGTATGGAACTCTGGGGAGATTTCCCAAAGGCTCAGGGTTTTATTTGCTTCGTTTAAATGTATTCACTAACAGTTGACTGAACACCTCTTGTTCTCCTTCTATCACCTTAAATAAGTGCATTAAAATCACTGTGCCTCTGAGCAGGTGCTGTACCTGCAGCTTCTCCTACTGTCTCCTGTCCAAGAGAATGGTGTGGATGTTTGAGGTTGTATTAAAAAAGCTCAGAGTTCCTTGAATGCTAAGCCTTATAAATTATGAGTGTGAGTAAGCCCACACTAATCTCCAAGTAACAGAATGCATTACTTTGGTTCAGGTCAGGTCACTTCATCATTTGTGATAGGGATGTATTAAATGCGTGCCAAATAGGGCACATTTTTTTATTAGCGAGGCGCTACAGAGCTTTCTTCATTTTCTTATCTATTGCTCTGTTCTCATATCTCATCATTCCTTGAATGCACAAAACTTCTCATCATTTTCCAAACATGTCAGACTTCTACCCATATTTATGCCTTTGAAGAAGTTGTTCCTTTTTGCTGGAATACTCCTTTGCTCCTTCATCTGGTACACTTCTGTGACTCAGCTCAGTTGTTTCCTCCAATCCTATTCCCTTTCTCTGAGCTTTTATATCACTCTCTAGGCACCTCTATTGTTTTATTTATTACATTGGCATCATAATTTCAAGGGGTTGGGAGCAATGCCTACTGAAACTGCTCAGGGAAAAGGCAGAGAGAGTGAGAACTTGGCAAGTCTAGGACTGGGAGACTTAACTGGGTTGCATGACAGACCCCCATAAGGGTCAGAAGGAAGGCAGAAGGGTGCTTGGTAGATATGAGTTCGTGGATATCAACAACAGGCAGCCCAGTCATGAAGAACACTGCAGTCAAGGATGCTGAGCCTTTCAGGCTCAAACACAAGGGAGGTGTTTGGAGGCCACATGCTCTTAGATCACTCAGATCAATGGTCAGTGGCAACCAAGCCGATTGGAGGAGTTCAAAGACTGTGCTAGGAGGAGAAACTAGATAGTGGACCTGATCAATGTCACAGGGGTAAGAAGCCTAAGACTCACTCTGCCCTGATGGATACTGAGTCTGACAACATGATCAGTTCCCACACTTCACCAAGAAATGGTTCCTGAGACTGCCGGTGGAACTGTTGTCCAGGTAGCTGGCTTGGAAATTAGAGAATGAGACAACAGAAGAGCATGAAAACCTCCAGCTAGGAAGAGTGGGAGGGTCAGGGGATGATTATCACTTTGAAAAATTGGAAAGGTGCTAGTCTTCTAGCAGTAGATCATATGCTCTTGAGAATAGAGTTCACATCTTATTCCTTTTTTATCTCTACTGCCTAACACTGTGCCTG